TATGTATGTAAAGTGTAAAATTTGATTTTCGTAAAACAGTGCTCAATACATCAGAGTAGAGCGAAGTATATGATGTGGGAGAAAAAACGATTAACACTTTCCCCTTCTTTCCCCTTCTTTCCCTTTTTTTAGGCATCGGAAAGGGAAACGCTGTGTTTCGGTAAATGTTTTTTTTTTTTCTATATCCGTTAATAAGAAAAAAAGTAAAGAAGATAAAAAATCGTTATGTCCCGTAGGATTCGAACTCATGGCCTCTCGTGTACCGGGCAATCATCTACTCCCCTGCGCCACATCGACGTCTATAAACTTGACACAAGTCGACCTTTGCTTTTAACTCCCGAAGCGAGAGGGCAATCTTCAAGCGACGAACTGCGAAACCAACAGGGCAGGGAAGAATTATTGGAAAGGACTTTTAGAAAGTCTACTGCATCCAATGAAATACGGTCAAACATATTCATTATATTGTTTTTTACAAAACCGCTGGGTTGTTAGACCAGCAGGCTCGTGTAAAAAGAGTTGCGCGAAAGTCCTACGGTTCCATCTTATCCTTCAAATAAGTCTTTGCTGAGCTCGTTCAAGCGAAGCTGAATTGTTGTCATTCTGGTAATGTTTCTCATTCGTGCATTCGTGGATCTGTGTGGACGTTTGGCAATGGCGTCATTCGTCACTCAGTGGAGCTGGAGTAGTGGGAGACTGTAGTAATTTCAAACGACTACATTTGGACATAAGGCTATGAATGGACTCGCGTTATTTAATAAATACAAAAACTCCACTCTCAGCTTTTCATAATTATCCGAGTTCAATGGCTCACAGCCACTTTGATCTTTCCTATATGGGTATTGTTCTCTGCTTGCTCCGCTATGATTCCATGGATGTTTAGACAGAGTGCGCGACCCATGCGGGTCGTGTCTCCTCGATCGTAGGGGTTAGGGGTAAATTTCTTGTGCATGCGTACTCCCTCACCTGACTAACCTTGTAGCGCCTCTGCAATTACATGTGATGTTAATTGTCCTTTCAACTTAGAAATCAACCTTCAAGACCAACCTAGAAGTGGGCAAGTTTCAACGAGCGACCTGAATTCTATTTCACAAGACCTTGGAAAAGATTGGCTGTGGGTTGGTCGCCTTCTTGGTATTGAGGATGCTGCATTGGACAACATTAAAGATGCACACACGCAGCTCTACGAGTGCTCCTTTCAAATGCTGAAGTCATGGGCTGGGAAGAATGGTGACGACGCTACCTACGGGTGGCTTGCATGGGCGTTAATGCACAGAGCAGTTGGAAAGCGGGACATCGCTGAAAAATACTGCCTTGAGTGTCGGCAACCACAGAGTGGTGTGTTAAAATAGAATAATGACAGGGTAGGAAAAAAAATTGAAATCCACTTGCCCAGTGGGCTAGCAAATTTCAGTTTTCACTTGTCCCCGTTAAAATGCTACTTGCCGACGTGGCGCCCACTATGGCAATCAGAGAACAAATGCGAACAAAGTATGCTTGGATTCCTCACTAATTAATCCATGCTTTCAACTCAGTAGTTAACTAATTTTGCAGTCTCAAGTTTTGAAACAGCTTCTAGCTTGAAATTTTTATCCAGCTGACATTTTCATTCAGACTAATAAGACTACTTAGGCTAATTTCACTTGCTTACCGGGCAATTGAACTTCTATTTTCACCTACCCAGGAGCGAAATTTACTTGCCCCGGGCAATCGGACCTAGGTGTTTTCCTGCCCTGAATGATAATGGCGGCTAGCTAGTTGTAGAGAATAATGGTCAAATGGGAAAAGTCCTCCCCCACCCCTACCGTGCCCCACAATTTAAGTTGTGCGAAATTTGGCGAAATAGTTAAAGAAGCCTCGAACTATTAAATAGTCTAGAGGCGTTTTATGCCAATATCTTGGTGCTTAGTAAAGTACACAAAGGCTTTTTTGGGAGTCTGATTGTTCATCCATGTATGGAGGAGGATGCATGAACAACAGGACTCCCAAAACGGCGTGGGGCAAGAAACGCGGGCTTACAAAACGGCTGGAAATCGATGGAATAGAGTACACATTGAAGTGCAAAATTAGTATTACTAGGGTAAACTGTACCGTCTTGTTGATTTATACCTGTTTGCGTCATTGTTTTAAAAAATAGATTCAGTCAGTAACCATGGAGCTTTTAATTCACATTTGAACTGCGGTTGTAGATGAAAGTGAAGAATGATCATTGCAGTAAATTTTCCAATTTAAGCAATTGGAAAGAAGAAGCCTGAGAAAAATCAGGGCTTCAACGGGATTCGAACCCGTGACCTCCGCGATACCGGTGCGATGCTCTACCAATTGAGCTGTAAATGCTGTTTCAAGGTGGCGCACAGTTCTGAGAGTTCAGATTCTGTAGATTCTGGTTCTGAACTTTCAGAATTTGAAAATGTTGAACTGCTTAACAGGAGATGACTGTATGTTGCACACCTGTGACGTCATCTCAGGTCACGCGAGAAAAATTGATTGTTTTTCCTCGAATATATTGTAGAGGGCGGGGATCGGTTCCCGAAAAATCTTTTTGTTTTTTATCGGTCAGTACCCAAGACTACTTCCATGAATGTTAAGAAAAAAAGGTAAAAAACCCCGGAACTTAAAACATCTTTTTTGTCGATAGTCCAACTTCCTCACCCCATCCCTCACCAATCAATGTTGAAACAGGCTCTGACGAGACTGTCATGTGGTCACAACATTTGAGGGGGTGGGGTAGGGTGACCAAATATGAGAACTTGTGATAGGAAAGCGTCTCAACTGACTCCTTTTGTCCCAGATTGTGCAATAGCTTCATATGTGTCTCCTGGAGAAGGGATTCTGGTATTAGACAAGAACATGCAGAATTTGGGTCTTGGCGATTCGTCAGCAAATAAACCTGGAGTGGCTTGTAGCCCAGTTCACGTCCAGAGCAATGCAGAGCCGGGGGCAGTGAGTAAAAGTCAAACAGGTTTGTCAAGATTTCTACATGCTTGGTTGATCAACTTGTCGTTATAATTCTTACGCTAAAAAAAAGACATTCCATGCAAATGTATCCATTTATTTATTTATTTATTTGTTTGTTTGTTTGTTTACTCAAATTCAATTACACAGATGATCAAAACAAAAACAAAAACAAAGAATTAAATATATTTACAAGTATAAAAAGGAAATATCTGAGTAATTAGGCCAGTTTAAACAGAATTCTAGGTTCCTTATTTTAAATAAATTGCTTGAGATAAAATGCAAAATGCATAGAAAACTAGCATAGACAAATCGCAACAACAACAATAAGTGATCAGAAAACTATAAAAAATTATCTGGGAATGAGATTGCGAACGACCCGAGAAGAGGAACTGTCTGAAAGTGAAACAGTGTTTAAAAAAACGAAAAAAAAAAAAAGAATGCAAAGGTTTATCGGACGAGCGCGCAACCCAAGGGAAACAAACTGAGTAAAGCTCCCAAGGATCGACAAGGGAAACAGCTTGCGTTTGACCCGAACGTGATCAGCTCGTGCGACGTCCATGAGACCGCTGAAAATTTGCTCGAGCGTACGTCGTCTCAGTAAAACAAGGAACTTTTGCGAACAGTAAAACAAGGTGAAAACACCATTCAACGTTATTGAATAACGTTGAATGGTGTTTTCACCTTGTTTTACTGTTCGCAAAAGTTCCTGGGGCCTCCTGGTTAATGGAACGTGTTGTTTCTCCGCCCCCTGCTTAAAGACCTGACCTGTTCCAGGCTCTGAGTCGTTAAGGCATCTGCGCAGCAATTTCTCTCAAAGAAAAGATCAGAAATGGGAAAGAAACAGGCGAGAAGCTCAGTTCCAATTCGCACGTATGGTCAATGTTTTAAATGAAACAATACCTCACATCGCCAAGTATAACTGGACGTTAACCAAGGTACATTCTTTCTTTTTTATAAGAATATACCTTATAAGAATATCGAGGCTGAAATTTGCGAAATTTTAAGGATGTTTTAA